TAGCCCCACAGATCCATGCCAAAAGCATGTGAAGCCTCAACAGAGACCAGCTGCAATGTTACATCCTACAACTTCATGGAACAGGAGTTGCTTAGACAATTTTCCTTTGGCCAGGCACCACAGAATAGTGCAGTTTAAGAATTTCAGTCTTTCTTCTTAACTTCTCTTTCTGGCTGTGCTGGTTTTGGCTGGAATAGAATTAATTTTCTTCAGAGTAGCTAGTACGGGGCTATGTTTTGGATCTGTGCTGGAAACAGTGTTGATAACACAGGGATGTTTTCGTTACTGCTGAGCAGGGCTTACACAGAGTCAAGGCCTTTTCTGCTTCTCACCCCACCCCACCAGCGAGGAGGCTGAGGGTGCACAAGAAGTTGGGAGGGGACAGCTGACCCCAACTGACCAATGGGGTATTCCATACCATATGACGTCATACTCAGCATATAAAGCAGGGGGAAGTAGAAGGGGAGGACGCGCGGAGTGATGGCGTTTGTCTTCCCAAGTCACCGTTACACGTGACGGAGCCCTGCTTTCTTGGAGATGGCTGAACCACTGCCTGCCGATGGGCAGTGGTGAATGAATTCCTTGGTCTCGTGTGCGTGGCTTTTGCTTTACCTATTAAACTGTCTTTATCTCAACCCACGAGTTTTCTCACTTTTACTCTTCCTACTCTCTCCCCCATCCCACCGGGGGTGGGGGGAGTAAGTGAGTGGCTGAATGGGGCTTAGTTGCTGGCTGGGGTTAAACCATGACACTGGCTATGGTCCTCAGCATGGCAACTGGTTCTATTCTACCTGAAAGCCTCAGGAACTCCAAATCACTATGCAAATTAAGCATTACACCCTTCCCAGACCACTCCTCTTCCCTTTCACTATGCCATGAATGTCCCTCAGCCCTGTAAGAGAGCAGCACATCAAGGATTAAAATAGCAAGTGTTTTCCACAGCAGACAGAGGAGATTCCCCTTGGCTCACCAACTGCCCAAGGTTTAGGACCTTTCAGTGTCTTTTGACATTGATGATTCAAGTAACCCAAGGTAGACAGCAGAGCTGCCTAAAAACAAAGCCTCTCACTGCTATTTTAAACCCTAGTTTCAAGTAGCAACAGCCTCTGAAGTTCAGAACAGAAAGATCTACTCTTTTACAATCCTTTTATGTTAATCTGCAAGTGCTATCAAGAAAATTTAAATAACTTCCTCCACGGCTTCTCAGTCTCTGGCCATTCCTAAACTTTTGACTTAAGTTATCCAGCTTAAGCAACCCATCAAAATAACCCTGTGCTCTCTCACACTTCTCCAGTCCCTCTACGCCAGTATAACTGCCATTACAATGTTAGGCAGGCTTTTTCAAAAAAGCCCTGGGTTGTTAAGAGGGCCCCAGCAGACATCTCTGAAGAGCTCTTACAGATGTTTAGCTGTTGCCACCACTAGGCGAAAGGAAGGGTGTACTGTGACATGTCCAGACCTGTGTGTGCATGGTTTGACAAGATGGTTCATGTGCTGCTAAGCAGATTATACAGCACTGGAATTTTGCCCTAAGGCACTAATTTATGTTTCTCTTTTCTACCCAGCCACCTATTTCAAAAAACTTACTGGAATATAATTAGGTCTGAGATCTCCACTCCACTGCCGAATTTGGAGAAATTGCTCTACCCAAAGCAAAGCTATACAGACAGTGATTTGCTGGAGAAATAGCTGAATCTGACTCAAAGGCAATAAATAAAGCACTAATAAGAGTCTAACAGGGCTTTCAAGTGTATAATACTATTGAAGTTTTTTGTGATTTCTAGAGATTGGACTTCAGCAGGGAGTGACACTGCTGACATATTTATGTCATATCATTTTGTCTCTTCCCACCTAAAGGAAAAAGTATCAAATATCTGGAGTGCCTTTTTCCAGCATTTTCATGTACACATAAGTTTATTTCTAATTTTTGCTTCAGGTTCAGTGATTCAGCTTTTGAAAACAGAGATAATCAAAGTGGACTTAAATTCATGCCATGGGCTCTGTGTCTCTTTTACAGAAGAGCTTTCTGGCTTTCTTCATTGCAATGGGCATCGTAGTGACACTGGGTGATGCATACTGCTTTTCTAAAATGAACAAGCCAGGGGAGGCTGAAAAAGGTAAGAAGAGGGAAGGTCCTCTCACTTGATTGTTCTGTGGCGTCTTGGCTCTATGTGGAGCTACCAGGAAGGGCTCAAAATACAAGGGAGGGGGTAGGTGTCAGAAAGACACGAATAGGAGGTTCCAGCACCAAGTTTCCAAAAGTAGGAAAAACCAAAGTCTTCTCCTGGACTGGGTATGATTGCAGCAATATTATTGCTATGGGTGGTGCGTTGCCATTGCTATTCCAGCACATGGAGCTGATGCTGGAGTTCAGAGTAGTTCTGAATAAAGTGTCGTGCCAGGTGGCAGACCTGGCTGTTTGGTTGCTCACTTTCACCCCTGATCTGTCACACTGAAACTGTCTCTAACAAGTGAAGAAGAAACAAGTTCAGGCTCTCAAAATAGTCCAGATAATAACCTGGAGAACAAAATAACTTCTACTTTACTATTGCCAAGAAAAACATTTTCAGAAAACTTGCAATCCTTTTTAAACTATTCAGCCTTTACGTGGAGGCTTAAAGAACATGTTTCTTTTGCTGCTCTCTTACGCAGGCTGTATCCTGGATGGAAAACTATACCCCTTTGGAGAGATTGCGAGGACAGAGAATTGCTTCAGATGCAGCTGCAGCCAAGATGCAATGCGTTGCTGTTCCCTGTAAGTTTGAACTTCTTGGTAGCATCATTGCCCATAGGAAGACCACAGCTTTCCATTTGCTGGGAAAATGAGTTTCTAAGGCCACAAGGGAACCTTTCCTCACCCTTATCACAGAGCTAGGGCAAGCCACATATAGCTCTTGACCATTTGGATCCTTGGCTGTGTTTACCTTAGCTCACTTTCTGCTGAGTGGGAGTGGACACAGGCCCTTCCAGACACATCCAGTTGGTGCTTGCCTTTAATTTTGAGCAACTTGTGAACCCCTCTTACCCTACAGTTAAGTCTTAACAGGGAAAGTGGGGGTAGGAAGGAATTAATTCCACAAGGGTCTTAAGTGAAGCTCCTCTAAAGGGCTTATGATGATCTGAATAGATTTCTGGAGATGCTTTTCTCCAGTGAACATGCTGACCCTAAAATGACAAGATTCTGCTCTGAAGTATCTATCTCTAACATCCTCCTTTCCTCTTATCCAACCTCCACAAAGGGCCAAAATGGCTTGATTATGATCATCGCCTTTGCTCAGGTGACACGCAATACGTTAGGAAATATCTACCACATTCTAAGCAAACTGGCAATAATGAAAAATTAATGGAAAAGAAATAAAACATGCCGAGACCATGCTTACATCACACTGTAGAGTGCTGTGATAGAAATCCCTATGCTAGTACTAAGCATACTGGTGCATCTACAAGTGCAGTGCAGCAAGGCCCTGGAAGCTGTAGCTGTGTGGCACTCAAGCTAGCTAGGCTGTCTTAGCCACAGTTTCAGAGTTATCTCACTCAGCACTAGTTCAAGCTATAATCACTGAAGTATTGAATCTTTCATTGCTCTCAGTCTAACATTTGCTTTCTCTTTGCCAATGACAGCTTTCATACTCCTACTGGTTATGACAAAGAGAACTGTAAAGTCATTTTCAACAAGAAAAGCTGTGACTATGACGTGGTGCAGAAGAGTGACCCCTCAAAGGAGTGCTTTGTCTATTCTCGTGTGGGCTAACAACCCACCTGTGCCGAACCTCTCTGCCATGTGGAATTCCTCCCCTTCCTACAGATGCTTGCCATCACAGAGAAGCTCAAAGACATGGGAGATCTTGTGAGAGAGAGTACTTCAGCAGCTCACTTTTAATCTCCTAATTGTTCTAATTCAGTATATAAGATGCATAATCAAGACACAACGTCTCATTTCTGTCATTACTTGCATTGGTATCACTGAGCTTTTCTGAATACAATAAATCCAGATGAAACATCCAGAAATGCTTCATAATGATGGTTCTTTTTATATAACAACACTGGGCAATGTCGCCTCCTTTGAGAGAGGAACGCCTTCACCTCACTATTCCAACATGCCGTGCACCAGTGCCCTGGCACAAGTCACTCTCATGCTTTGCTGGTTCTATTCTAGCCAAGGGTCAGTGCAGACATTTTAGCTCACCAGGTGTCAAAATCCATTACGATTTGGAAGGCATGCACTGTTTGGGACATGCTGTACCATGGCTTCTACTCAGGGCACACAGGGCACACCTGAACTGCTGCAGGAGTTTTGGCAAGACCTCTGAAAAAACAGTGAGGATGGAAGATCATCATCCTTTTTCTCCTTTTTTTTCTTTTTCTTCTCTTCAGCAATGTCATCACCCAATAGCAGTGGCTGTTCCTCTCCATTGCCCACTCTGACCTGCTGCCAGGTGTCCTCCTCCAAGCCCCACTCCTGAAAGTCTGCACACACGGCGCTGCTTTAGTGGTTCTTGCCCACACTGAAAAAGAGATCTAGATCAGCCCCTGGAGATATGGTTCCTCATGGCAGCAGAGCTTCAGGTACTAAAAAAAGGCAGATGCCTTCTGTCTCTTCAGTATAAAAATTCCCCACATTCTCTGGGGAGAGAAGTCCAGCCAGTGATGGGCTTCAAAACCAAATCTCCCACTTGGCAATTGGTAATATCCTAAATCTGCCCACATATAGGAGACCAGGCAACAATACCCTGTAAAATGCTGCTTCTACGTGGCCTGTCTGCTCCAGAATTGAGTATTAAAAATCCACAACAGTCTGCAGTTAATTGTTGTATGGTTTGAAAGGAAACACACCTTCCAGGACAAGTGGACTGTTTAATGACGCTCCATAATCACAAGTCTGTTGTCTTGTAAAAGTACAAGGTTACACACAGCTGAGCATTCTTAAGGCAGAGTTCCTCACTTGGCCCAAAATCAGTTGTCATCCTATATTTATTCAGCAGGGGTACTTGCTCCTCAGGATGACCCATCTCAAGCTCTGCGAGCCATCAGTAAAATCAGAAGGATTTAACGTGGTATGTTTTCTCTGACTTTTTTTTCGGTAATTTGCCTATGAACATTGTTTCATGGTTTCACTTAAGATACCTCCTTTGGGGAAAAAAATCCAAGCATTTTGCAAGCACTGGTATTACATTCTTAGCCTTTTAAAGTTCTCTGCACCACAGGTTGGATATCACTCAATAACTCTGTGTTTCTGTACAATTGGTTCCTGCAAGGCTGAAAAAATGTGAGAGGCCAGAATTAGAGTCAGTTCAACTTTTTCCAGTACAAACATTTGCATATAACTTTTTAAAATCTGACTTTCATTCACTGATTTAATCATGTCATTCCTCAAAATTCCCCTAAACAGCAGCATTTTGAAGTGAATGTTCTCACATTGCTTAAGGTCTTAAGGTAAGTTTTCTCCAAAGAGTTTTCATACCCTGCAGGAGAGGAACAGTTCTGAAAATTGTCCTGAATGACTTTTCCCCTTTTCTGCCAGCTCATGTCGAAATTACACAGAACACAGCCTCAACTGGTACCTGAAGGAATGTTCTCACTTGCAGAACAAACAGCTGCAGCTTCTTAGGGGAAGTAATATTTTGAGCATGGAGATCCAAAGACTTCCTACCTCAATAGCTCACAGAAGTGTTTCCTGAGAAAAAACAGGTTTCTTTTTTTTTAAAAATCCCAGTTTAAACATTTTTATCACTAACAAAAGTGACTTGGAGGCTCCTCATGAATTATTTTTTTAATTCAAACCACTGAGAACTGCACACATCAGGATTAACATCCAGTTTGTTGTAGTCTGGAACTGTGCCATGTGATACTGGAATGATTTCAGTATTCCAAGTTTTGCCCTACCGTAGTCTCACAAATTAAGGCTACATATTTCTTCTGAAACTTAGGAAAATTAGTTTATTATCTCGTAAGATCATATTCATGTTCTTAACATTGGTAGTTCCTCAGTAAGACTTCACAGTTTAAATGATTTACAGATACTTAGTTCACTTCTAAAGTAAATAGAATTTCATTCTATTTATTACCTTATTTGGACCTTTATTTATTTATTTATAATTAGGAGCCTTATTACCTCCTAGAATCCCAAGTGTTTCTGTAGAATCTAGGTGCCAATTTTCTTACAGATGAAGATGACTTTCTCAGTGTAAGATTTCTGATTTGCTGGCAGCACCAGTAAAAGCCTGAGTGACTGAAACAAGAAATCTAGTACAGGCATTGGACATATTCACTGAGGTTATGAGACTGGGAAGAAAGAGCACATTTGATCAATGTGATTAGCACATCCTTCCAGAAGTTATCCATGGGTGAGGAAGTCCATCTTCCACTGCAGGGGCACCTCCTCCACCACATGCACTTGAAACAGAATCTGAACAGCCCAGCACAAACAAGAGCTGACACCAGAGAAGCCAGAAAATGAATTCTGGTGAGTTTACTAGGCCCAGGAAACATAGAGAGAACTGACCTAGAGGCTCCAGAGAATAGTCTGGCTTCACTGAGATCCAGAAATTCCCTCCAGATGTTTTTAAAAAAAAACAAACAAACAACATATCTTTTAGTTTCAACACGCAATTGTATTGCGTTTTCTATTGCCAGAGTTGCTGGCAACAATTTTAGCAACAAAGCTCAGGAATCTTGACTCCCTCTTGCTATAAAGTGCAAAGCCCCTCTACTGAGAGGGGAAATGCTTTAACAGCATTGTCGCAGGTAACTTTTTTTTTCCTCATTCATGAGATGATCCAGCTGCAGGAAAGCAGGATGATGTATCACTCACCCTCTGTTTTGAATACTTGTCATTATTTGCGTACCACAAAGATGAGGGTTATATGTGTAGGACAGAAACATGGAGAGGTACCAGTTCAGTTTTCCATCCTTCACAGTGATGAAACTGCTTGTTGATTACTAGTTGAATTTCAATAACTTCCTCAGAAATCCCAATAGAGCCTCTCCAAACCTGAAATATTTTTGCGTTTGATTTGTTTGGCAAGACACTGAAGAATAAATTTTTGCCATTTTTATATTCAGCCCTGCAGGAAACACCAGACAGGCCGTGCAAGAGCTCCTTAGAAACAAAACAAAGTTATCATAAGTTAAAATTTCAGATTCGGAACAATCGGAGTCAATTTGTTGACATGTATGTGATCAGAGAGCCATGGCAGTACCATACATGCCTTTGAGCTGCAACCTCATTTGAAGGAATTTCACATTTGAAGGAATAACAAAGATAAAATGCTAGGTGTCATTTTGTGAAAAAAAATCACATAAAGTCTGTTAAATGTTCTACCCTTTCAGGTGTTGTGATTCCCGTTTGTTTTCTCAAAGAGGGGGAAAGCAATTCTTCTAGCACAAGTATGCTCTCAGCAACTGTTAAAATACTTTCAAGAAGTAGACACAGACATTGTGGGGTTTTTACCGCAGTGTTTCCTGGGCTTCCTTCTTGACACCACTAAGTAATGCATACTGTTATTATGAACTAAACAGCCCAGGCGCAATTCTGGTGAAACCTGCCAGAGATAAGAGCCACAACAACCCTCTTTATGTTGTTCTGTTCTAGTTGCTGCCCATCAGGAATAGACAGGAAGGGTGTAGAACAAGAAATGGGAGGAAGCAGGATTTTACACATGACAGTGGAAAACAAACCGGGAGAGAAGGAAAAAAGAGAAAAGATCCCAACAGCCAAGATATCCCATGGATTTGGTTGAGGCATTCTGTGGGTGCCCTCCCCACCCCAGTCTGTTCTGAGTCCATGCAGCAATAATATCCAGCTGCTGAGTTTTATCTTCATGGAATCAGTGACTAACAAGTTTAGAAAATGGAAGTAAGCTCATGCTCTCTAAATAGAGCTGAAATACAGTGTAGGTGGCGTATACACAGAATTCACTGAGCTTTCCCAAAAAAAAGCCCAGAGGTCACTGAACTAAGTAACCAACAGTATAAAACTGAAGTTAAGCCTCCTTTCATTTTGTGCATGTGTGTGCAGGTTGTGTTAAAGGTGGAAGACTGCACAAATTTAGTACTACCTGGAGGACCAAAGGCATGCTTCCAATGCCAGTGCGGCCAGAGTGGGGTCCACTGTTGTACCATGCAAGTTCCACAAAGCCAGAGGCACCAGCAAGAACTACAGCAATGCTCCGATCTGCCACCCTTCCTATAACTAACTCCTTAAGTCAAGCCTCTATCAAAAAGTCTTTACTTTTTCATAGACTTATGATCTTCATTTGCTTAATCAGCTGCAGGGTTGGGATAAAAACTTGTGTTTGGAATCACTGTGTTTTCTCGTTTCTGGAATAAACTTTTCTGTCATTTTTCTAAAGGTTTCTAAGATCTTTTTGTTACCACGTGGCTTGAGCTGAAAGTTAGAAGTGTAGGAAATATTGCATCTGTGGCTATCTTCCTCAGTGCTACCCACACTGCAGAGATGGACGTCTCCTGCTTGCAAACACAGCCTGGCATTTGCAGCTGGTTCTTTAGATCATCTTGTCTGTCTCTATGTCCCTGCTTAGCACTGATCCTTCATTTGAGGATTGTGACCTGACAGGATTTTCCAGACTAGCTGAGGAATTACCATGTGTTTTAAAAAAATGCATTTGCGCCTTAGCAAGAGGGATCTTTGCTTATCCACAGAACTAAACAGGGAAAAAAATGAAGTATTTCTCATCCCACTGAAATTGCTTTGAATTAAAATTGAAATTTGGCCCAGGGATGGGGACTCTGCTGCATATGGAAGGAGACAGGGGTGAAATGACATTGTTGTCTCCAGCTTGGGCCTCCCAGCTTGAATTGAGACCTCAATTCAAATTTCTGCTATGCCACGTTACCTGGGACAAGACACTCACACCATCTGTGCCCTTGCCTGTAAAATTAATACAATTCTTTGCTAATCCCTATTCCAGGAGAGATCTGAGGGCGTAGGCTTTGAGATTTGTGGGTATATGAGTCTCAGAGTTAACAAAAATGTTCCCACCAAGATAAAACTTCCTTTTATCACATTACAATATGTTTCTATGTCAACAGCACACTGTATATTTTAGTGCTGTTTGCTTGTGCTTTTCCTTAAAACAGTTGTCCTTTCTCACGTGCAAATGTGGCAGACTTTGCTTAACAATTGTAAAACCAATGTACATTATACATAGCATTGTCATATTAAGGTCAAGACAAATTTATTTGTAAAATTGTGTTTACTTACGATCTGTGAGCTGATATGCCTCATGCTTCCTCTTGCTTTCCCCCTCCCAATGGCAGTACCAGTCAACCTGCTGGTTTTAATGACTTATCTTGATACATGAACTTATCTTCCATAAGGAGTCCTGCATTTACTCTCTCCTGCAGAAAGCGGATCCCTCTTGTCGTGGTTTAACCTGGCAGGCAGCCAAATCCCACACAGCCACTCACTCACTCCGCCCCCCACAGTGGGACGGGGAGAGAATCGGAAGGGTAAGAGTGAGAGTAGTACTGAAATGCTGGATTAAGAAACAAGGTTCCTGGACTGCTTTCATTCTGGTGCATCTCTTCCATCTTAAGTTGTTTATAGAGTAATGCTTTTCATAGGTATTAGCTAGTTTGTTGGTTTTTTAAAATAACATTACTGCTCCAAAATCATACTGTATTCCTCTCTGTTGATTGCCTAGCACTGGAAGATACAGAAAAAACAAGGCTGATAATCTTGCATTACTCTCATCATCTATGTTGATCATCAGTGAGATGTAACCAGAAATCCTAGCCAAAGAATGACTAACTAAAATAGTGAGGTAAATCTTCAAAAAAGTCCCCAAGATTTTTTCCCCACGTTAGGAAGAAACAGGATACTCTGTTCCACACCAGTGGAAAAAGGGCACAGAACTGAGCAGAGCACTGATATTCTTAGAATGTTTTTAGTAAGAAATAAACCAGTTGGGAAGACAAACAAGATTTCAACAGAGCAACGTCTGTTGGAGATACCTGTTCCCCACACAAGCAAGGCACCCCTCATCTTGTACATGAACAACGTGAAGAAGAAACACAACATAATATGGGCCACAAATGACCTTAGTAATCAATATATGAATGGGCTATCTACATAGAGTTCGCTGTTCTGAGTAGTTTCAGCACCACAGCATATTGTTAGGGTCCCCTGAGTTCACAGATCATGCAAACAGCTTCTTCACTGTCCCTAGACACTGCCCAGGCTTAGACAGGTCACTCCCTGCTGTGTTCCAAAGAAAGCTGCTTGCAAGAACTTCTCTCCATACCTGGCATAGCTTGCACCTAGAAAACAGGGAGGGTCTGCAATGGGAACTGTTGGGCGGTCACTGCTTGTCTGAAAAGCTGAGAGAGAGAGAATACACATGCACATTGTTTGGATTTTTGTTCTTTGGAGTTGAGCAACAAATGCTTTCTCTGTCACTCAGCACCAAACCAGCAAGTTGACTGGGTTTTGGCTGTAACAAATTCCACAAGTCTCACTCCAGTTCACCAGCATCACAAATCGCTATGTGTCTGGTGACCTTTGTTCACATACAAAAACTGCTGCAGGGTGCCTGTCAAGAAAAACACTGCATGCAAACTCTACAACATGCAAGAAAAAAATTAAATGGCTCAGTAATATTAATAGAATTAAGACAGTGTAATTTGATGGTCCTTTTCTTCCAAACTATCATGGAATACTTTCTCCAGATTACCTTTGAGGATATGGAAGAGCCAATATCTTGAACAGGACTCTGTGGTCCTTCCCACAGTATTTTCAGCCGAGGTGAAATAGTTACTTCTCAGCACATAAAGGTTACAAAGAGCAGGCATGCAAAGCTAGGGCCCGTCCTTAGCCATCCCGCAGACGTAAACCAATTAGGCCAGGCAGCATAGAAACAGGAAAGGAACGTGTGAACTCTCTCCGTCTTCACTGCAACCAACACAAAAGGCAGCTTTGGTCTAGGATCAGGGTGTATTACTTTGTTATCCTACTGAGCCTTCTTCCCCCTTTAATAGAAAAATCCTCTGAAACACTGACGGTATCCCAAACCACAATGATGCTGTTAAATTGGCTTCATATGTATTTGTGAGAGATCCAAAGGGGACGTTTAGACTCTTGATGTCAGTAAAGAAATTCCCAGTGCCTGTGCTCATAGGCTGACATGATCTGTTGGTTTACCAGTGATTAGGAGCCAAGGGCATGAGCTGGGCGGCTGTGGTGTTAGTCATCTCTTGTTTCAGGGCAGTGCATTCATCAGCATTGCCAAATCTAACTTACCAATGATAGGCTGATTGTGGGCAGCTTTAATCAAACCTATGAATACCTGCAAGCACTTCAGCTCTTTTCTGTCACCCTGAAGAAAGATCTGGTAACTGAAGAAAAACCAATTTACCCAACGTACTGAGTTGAAAGCCAGCTAAGGCTGTTCCTGCGAGTGGTGGTCTCACCGTGACATGCATTGCAATAATACTGGCTTTCTCACATGGACTTCCTGAGGTAGCTCTCAACTCTGGAGTTTGGGTAGAAGACATGGAATAGCCACCCCAGCTTGGAGTTCAACCTCAACTCTCAAACCCACGCAATAAGGCAACACAATTAGGCAGCCAGAGGAGTTAGTTCAAATATTGCAAACTGTGTAGCCCTGGTAATAAGGGGAAGACTTCTTCCCCTACCAGGGTTATACAGTTTGCAATATTTGAACCAACTAGATCAAAGCTAAGCAAAAGGGGACTGTATTTGACTCCTTTGTTATCAAATTACTGTCCTAAGCATTTGGAAAGCCTGTCTGTCCCTGACATGTACAGCCTCGCAGAAAAGGGACTATTTCTTCCTTCTACAAAGATGAAGGAAGAAAATATACGATGCCTATTTTTTCCCCACTCACAGAGGACCTGAGCATATGGGTCTTGTACATGATGGAAAACTGAACAAGGAAGAAAATGGTTATCTAGGACCCTTTTCTAAGGGCCTACAGATGCCAGCCACTCTCCACAGAAACCCTGCTTTATATGTAACCCTTCCAACCACCACTCCTTTTCCATAAGAGCCTTCTTTCATTTTCAGCTGATGAACAAGCAAGCTGAATGATTGTTCAAAGTTCTTCTCTTTTAAAACCTAGATGGTTCAAATTAAGCATGCAAATTTTTTTGTGAGTGACAACCACAATGTCTCTAACGGATTTCTCAGGGCAAGTGCTAAATATTCCTTCCAGACTTGAAATTCCTTTTGAAGTACCTCCCATAACTTCCTTCCAGATCTGGTGTAGCCCAAAAGCCACACCTATTTCTTCAGTGCCTTTCAGAGCTAAACCTTCCTGTATATAATTGGCTTATTTTAATAATATCCGCCCCATGAGGTCATTTTGCAGAAACCTCATTGGTGTTATTCATGCATGTTAAGTTTGCTCAAGGACTGGTATCGTAAATTCCCTCTCTATATAAGTTCTCCAAGAAGATGAGCTTCTTACAGGTTGTCTCCTTACTGGAAGCCTCATAATTCTGCAAGAATGGTGAGTCCTTACATCTTATACTGTAAAAGACGATGGTATTTTGCTATAGATTTTAAAGGAGGTTCTATTGGGTTTATCTCAGTACTCAGGATCTAAGAAACTTGGAGAAAGTGGAAATTCTGTTTCTGGAGAGCTAAAGTCAGATAGATAGGCACAGGCAGGTAAGAACCCTGGGTAAAAGATATCAGCACGTATATGGCAGGAGATGTCTAATAGGACTCCAGCTAAGGCTTTTTATTATAACCTGTTTTCACTTACCTGTAATGTTTGGAGGTAATCTTTTTTCTGGCAGAAAGCAGCTCTGTTGTCTCTCAAGCTAGAACTGGCTTTCATTTTTGTGAGAAGTCTGGATAATGTCTGAACATTCAGTTAAACACAAAAACGTTATCTTGATTTTTACTCATTTGCAGCTCTGTTGCAGTTCTGTGGGGTTTAACCTCTCCTCTGCAAAATTAAATGCTAGTTTTTCCTCCTCCCATCTCTCAGATATGACTTCTTTTTATAAGTCACTAGTTCTACTCTGCCCAAAAAGCCCACATATAAATACAATATACACATGTGTGGATACATCATTGTTTATTCCTGGTCTACCTTTCCTCTCTTACCAAGATTTTAAATTCATCACAACTAATTCCACTCTAGAGTTCTTGCACTTATTTCCTTCATATCCCCAATGAAAGCCCTTCAAACATTTCAAACTAATATTGAAGTGTAAGGGACTTGCTGAGGAATTTAAGCTGAACTTTCAGAAAAAGCTGCTGAGAACGGTCATAAAATATAGAATTATCTAGGTTGGAAGGGACACCTGCAGGTTATTTGGTCCAACCTCCTGCTCAAAGCAGGGCCAAATCTTGAGGGTTCAACTTCAGCTCAAGTTCTTCAGCTTGTTCCTAATCCTTCAATATTAGGGTGAAACATCCAGTGGGTTCTTCAGACTCCAGTGAAGAAGTTTTTACAACTATGAGCGAGATTAGTGGCAGAGACAGTTTGTGACCAATCCTATGGAGAAAATAATGACAAGAAAAATGAATGGGGAGGGGAAAGGAGTAGAACACACTCCTTTCACAAACAGTATCTGAGTCTATCAGTCCTGTATTAGGCAACGCTTGATTTAAACAGCTTGAAAGGACAGACTTTTTTTTCCCCTTCCAAATGAAGCTCTGCCTCTGCTCCTTCTAAATGGCTCAGTATTCCTGACTGTGTGTTAAAGTGTCTAAACTGCAAAAGACAATGGATTTTGATTTGAAACCACAATGTATTTTCCTATTTGTAATGGTAGTATTTATCATTAAGACATCTTAGTAGTTACTTAAGTATTCATATTAATTCTGCTTTCTTGTTCAGAAAACCATCTTGTCCTGCCTTCTTGTTCTTGCCATTAGCGTGACACTATCCAATGCCAATTGCTTCCTTCAGCCATTGAAGCCAGGGACACCCGATGGTGAGATTGTAGGTAAGAAGTCAACTGTCCTCAACTTGACAGACATCACCACAAGCACTGCCCAATTTGATTTGTCCATTCAGTGCAATTTATCACAATTTAGAAATAAGTGGAAACAGTGGAGAGAAACCACTAGGAAAAGGGCGGGAAATGTGGTATGGAGAACAGGGAATTAATATGTTATAAAAAAGATGAGTTTATCTGAGGAGCATCACACAGGCCAAATTACAAATGAATTTTGTCCAGCAAAATAACATGGGCTTAGTTTACAAATCTGCATGAAGTAATAATTCATGTTTTCACTATGGCAGCATATTTAGAAATACAGAGAAGGGAGGAGAAGGACCTTTATGCATGTGTGTGGTCAGTTTAAAGCAGGAAACAGATTAGCAAACGTTCAGCACACTGGTCAGTTTACTCATTAGTTGTTTCCCTATCCCAAGGAAAGTTCTTAAGAACAGAATGGCTGCTCCCTTTCAGTCTAGGACTTCTCTTCCTGAACCCAGCTAGTCTATCAGTCTGCAGATGAGTGGAGCTGCAGGAAAATAAGTGCTCAAAAGAAACATGCAATTATTTGGACACAAGAGGAGCTGATGTGTGCCAGTATGCAAAATAAACTGAGTGCCCCAAAGTAGAGGTTTTTCTGGGAAAGCTAGTGCTCCTACTAGAAAAATGAGTTGGCATTGCCAAAGAAACAGAACATATTTATAGGCAAAGACACAACCTAGAACTCCCAAATCCTCCACTCTGTCTTGTCCTGTCCTCATAAAATTCTGCTTTCCAGATCACTCATTTGGGAAGTCTATTCATAGAATAGTAGAATAGTTTGGGTTGGAAGGGACCTCTAAAAAACCCCCTGCAATGAGCAGGGACATCTTCAACTCGATCAGGTTGCTCAGAGCCCCGTCCAACCTGACCTTGAATGTTTCCAGGGATGGGGCATCTACCACCTCCCTGGGCAACCTCTGGGCAGTGTTTCACCACCCTCATTGTAAAAAATTTCTTCCTTATATCTAGTCTAAATCTACCTTCTTTTAGTTTAAAACCATTCCCCCCTGTCCTGTCGCAACAGGCCCTGCTAAAAAGTTTGTCCCCATCTTTCTTATAAGCCCCCTTTAAGTACTGAAAGGCTGCAATAAGGTCTCCCTGGAGCCTTCTCTTCTCCAGGCTGAATAACCCCAACTCTCTCAGCCTTTCTTCATAGGAGAGGCGTTCCATCCCTCTCACCATTTTTCGGGCCTTCCTCTGGACCTGCTCCAACAGGTCCATGTCTTTACTGTACTGAGGACTCCAGAGCTGGACGCAGCACTCCAGGTGGGGTCTCACCAGAGCAGGGCAGAGTAGAGGGGCAGAATCACCTCCCTCAACCTGCTGGCCACGCTTTTGATGCAGTGGATACGGTTGGCCTTCTGGGCTGCGAGCGCACATTGCCGGCTCATCTCCAGCTTTTCATCTGCCAGTACCCCCAAGTCCTTCTCGGCAGGGCTGCTCTCAATCCCTTCATCCCCCAGCCTGTATTGATACCGGGGATTGCCCCGACCCAGGGGCAGGACCTTGCACATGGCCTTGAGGAGCCTCATGAGGTTCACAGGGGCCCACTTCTCGAGCCTGTCCAGGTCCCTCTGGATGGCATCCCGTCCCTCAGGCATCAACCACACCACTTAGCTTGGTGTCGTCTGCAATTCCATGGCTGTTGGACAGGAACTTTGTATCCAATATGTGCTTTCTTCCTGCAGCTGAGGATTGGGAAAAGTTTTTTGGGCAGATTTAGTCTTGCTCTAAATGAGGAGTCAACAATGGTTGGTGTTAATGAGGGGGGAAGTCAAAGCCTTTTCTTGATTCTGACCAGGTCTGTGCCTAGTTGTCTTTCTTCTGGGGACCCTCTGTGTTTGCCAGATAGGGACGTTAATGTAAAAAGCCAACAAAGATCCCACCCATTTTGTACAAGCAGTAGCACTGTCAGTGCACTATGTCTGACACTGAAGGCTGCTTGCACACTACATTTTCAGGCTGCCATGACTCGAATGGAGAGCTGCATGAATTTGGTTCCAGCTGGAGGAATGCAGACTGCTATGATTGTTCCTGTTCCAGGAGCGGAATTGACTGTTGCTCCAGGTGAGTTAGAGCAGCAGTGGTGGTTTTCCTCCGCTGCCATGGTACAGCACAAAGCACTTCCCTTCACACATGGGTCCCTGAGAAATGACCGTGACCCTTCTCTCACTGTCTTCATATCACAAAGTTATGCATTAACCCAACACCATCATCACTGAGCATGCAAGAAGTTTCTCTGACAAATATAGCTCATGTTTAAAAAATAATTCTTGATTTTAAAAGACGACTTAATTCTTCGTGGGGATAAAATTTCAGGCAAAATACCGATTCAAGAGAGAACACATAGTTACTTAAGAATTTTCTACTGCTCCTAATCCAGGTCTTCCCAAAGCTACACATAGCCCCTCTTTACTCTGAGAAGCAGCTCAAGATACACTGGCCTGCCTGTAATTTTTACTATAGCAACACCCAACCACTCATGCAATTCTCGTTCCATGTTGCGGCTGAAAAGAAAAATCAATTATATTTGAGTAGCAAATAAACACAACAAACATCCCTTGGGTGTAAATCAGATCAGTAGACAACCAGCTCTCCCCTAATCCTGCTCGAGCAGCAGGCTAAGTCACTTTTGAGCTTTGTGTGAGCTCCCTTTTCAGGTCCTGAACACCTCCTCAGTATACCCTCTTCATATTGAAAGTGTAGATACCATCTGAAATGGAAGCTGTTTACCTCTAGGTCTCACCATCTCTTTGTCTTTCTTTTCCCAATGATAGCTTTGCAACACCAGTTGACTACAATGAAGAGAAGTGTGTAAGCATTTTCAGCAAGGAGACCTGCACTTATAAAGTAGTGGAGAAAGATGATCACTCAAAAGAGTGCCCAGTCTATGGGTGGGTGGGCTAACAGAAAAGGATTGTGGATTTCGAGGATATTTCCTTTTTTTGTTGTTTCAAGGGTTATTTCTGCCACAAATTCAAAAACACTGAAAAATGCAGCTGTTGAATGAAATCTACTCATAAAGCCTCACACATAATAAAACTGAATATCTACTCACAAAAGACTCCCTTGGTTTCTCTGCCTTCTGCTTCCCCATGAAGAAAGAACTGACTTGTTCCTCCCTTGAGAGCAGAAATTAAAGCCAATATTTTTAAGCATCCTCAGTAGCTGCTAATTTTAATTCTTCTCCAGTCACACTTCAGTGCCAGGGGGTATATTCTGTTATCTGTGCACAGCTGTATCTTAAAGTTAAAATAAAATCAGATGAAGCATCAGAAATTCATGTGACTTATTTTCTTCTTTGAGGATGGAAACCTAAGAATAACATTCCAAAAAACCATGGGAAAGAAGTGAAAGGCAACTCAAAAATCTGTCTGAACACTCTCTTTTCTAGGACAATGTCTTATACGATGATCTTTTATCTTATATGGTTCCCTGGAGCCTGCCCAACCTATGGACTGCAAAAGCCACCAGCTACCCAGTCTAACCCAGCACTATACTTCCATTGCACCACAGCACAGCAGATCCAGTCCTCAAGCTGGAGTTTGTGTAAAAGTAAGGGTCCTTTATTCAGATTAACCCTGAAGAAATTCAAGGTATTAAATTGGCCAATGGGCAGGACTGTGGCTGGATGGAGAGACTGAACTGGACTGGGTGCAAACAGGGAAGAAGCTCAGCAAATCCATAAACAGTAACAGAGAGGGATACCTGTGCTGGTATAAGCTCTCCCTCAGAGAAGCACTGCTTTGTAATCTTTACGGGTACATTTGTTCAGTTGCCTCTTTCCAAACTGACTATGAGCATCCTATGTCTCCATGCTCTATTTCCCTGTAACAGAAAGAGCGTGTCAGAGTTTCCATAGCTCCTCGTTTCAAATTATGGAATGAGTACACACCTTGTCAGCAGGGCCCGTCTTGCTGTCTGCAGGGGCAAGGCAAACCTCAGCTTCTGGCAGCCTTGACCACATGTGCTCCAGTAAGCAACACAGGATGCCCGGAATTACACCCCAGAGATTTATTCCACCTCTACTTCCCTTTCTCCTTCCCCAGGAAGACAACCCTGTTGGTTACACTTTTTTTAAATTGCCTGCCACATGCCCTCTTGGAAGAGGGCCCAGAGTAATGTACTTTATACAACAGTTCACAAGCCAAAGCTGCTAACGTCACTGTGCAAATAGACTAAATGTGTCACAGAGCCCATAGGCACAGTAACAATTACATCTACTGAGAAAAATGTAAGAGGGTTCTGCATGATTTGAGCTGCATCTGTCCCACTTTCTCCTTTCTAGGCTACCAAAAAACGTGCAAAGCTGGTTGAGGTCTTGTGCTTCGCATCAGATAAGACACAGCTGTCAACAGGCTGCCCAGGAGCACATGCAAGATTGGGTTGTAACTGAACTGATGTCCTTGTGAAGCCCAGGAAGATGCTGTATGTAGTATTTCAGAGCTTAACACCCAAAATACCTTAGTTTGAGAACAGAGGATACTTCTTCCCTTATTTTCTTTAGACAGTGGGATTTTAGTCATGTACTTACCAGAGCTAGCTTGACAATTTGTTTGTTAAAACACCCGTTTATTTTGTAGTTTACCTCCAAACTCACCTGAAACTGACTGCTGAATTAGTTTTTTTTTCTAACTTCTATCCATATCTGGAAGCTACTGGGTCCTGCTTGTGGTGCAGTTACGCAGAGAGTATGTTGTGGAAAAAGCTTTGTAACCAACTATTTAGGCACATGATTAGTATCTGTCTTGATCAGATGTCCCTTAGTGATAAGGAATTATTTTCATAGAACCAGTCAAAAATAAGATCCAGAGTTCATAATTATATTCAGGAAGACTACAAGCTAGAGAATACAAAGATGAAGAATATAACAGTAACCAAAAAGCACTGTGCTCTGATGACATTACTGAAGGCAGTGGTATAAACTTTCTCAGTATTTGCAGAGATATTCTGAGTTCAGTACGGAGACACCTGCTTCAGAACTCCTGAATTATTCCTTTTCTGCAGTACCATAGCCTAAACTGAAAATGTTGATGAATCTGGAATTGTGATCTGCATTTGACTGAAGTTGAGCTCTGCGTTTATGGTCTCTGTATACAAGAGGTCAAGTTATGTGCAGCCTTCCGAAAGAGGAGGCCGTTTTTTTCCTTCCTGCCATCTTCCTCCCCTCCTCAGTTAATTCCTTTTCTGCATCACTAAAGTCTGCTAATTTCTTTTTCTCCAGTTGTTCTGAGGGCACCAGTCTTCTATTCTGCTGCAGATCACGATCTGATCTCTGAAACAGAATGAAATCCACTGAAATCCATTTACCCCGACCTCCTCGCTGTGTGCTTGCTTGCCAGTTTGAGTACCCTCAGACAGAGTAGAAGCAGATGAGGCATCCCAACATGTAATGTCTGAAAATTGCCCAAAGGCTGGGAGCATTACAACTCCTGGGTCATTTCAGATGGACTCTACCCAAGCATCAAGGCCATGAGAGGAAGTTTAAAAAAGAAGCCATTATTCTACCCTGTATCTTACAGGTGCCATCTGTGTACACACAGGATTCATGTTCTCAGACACAAATCTTGCTGTTTACAGCAGGTAGAACATTCAGATTCACAGCCTGTCCCAACATCCAGCGAAGAAGAGCAAAAAAGTTTGTCTGCCAAGAGGAGATGGGCATTTGTGAGGCCATCCTGATTTGCTACAGTGGAGTATGGACAGATCATTTTGGAGCTTGTGTAATAGTCTTCAGCCTTTTTTATGCAGCATAAAGGAGAGATTTTTCTCTGTGTTACTGCCATCCCAGCAGCAGATGCAATTTGAGCCCCACCCGCAAAGAGAAGCCCATCTTCTTACTAGGTTTGTTTCTGCAGTAATAAGCTGCCTTTACCTCAGACTCCAGCTCCCCAATTGGTTTAACCCAGTGCACGTGCAGGCTGTTAGTTTCCTATCTGCCTCTAGCTACCATCTTTCTTATTCTAGCACTAAAATTTTGTTTTCCAATGTTTTGGTCCAACTAATTGTTCTGGATGACCAGCCTCAGCCCCTTCAGCACCTGCCAAGGATGCTGAAGTTGGGTTAGAACCATTTTGGAACTTCACCAACATACTTGCACATACAATCACTATTCACCTACCACTAAGCGCGTGTGTTTCTTGGGAAAACTGGCTGACAGCATGACTGCAAGCAGAAATACTAACTTGCCTCTTCTGTTTCTGTTTCCCACTCCCACCTGCTTGGAAAGCTCAGGACTTACCATTCACAAAACAATCTATCCACATTCAGTGTTGTTGCTTGGGAGACACTGTCCCCATTAGCAGCTGGGCCATGAGCCTGTTTACCTCCCTTTGCATGCCTATGCTAAGAGAAAGCATATTTGAAGGCATCTTCTAATGACACCATGCCTAGCACAGACTCCAACACTTTAGGGTTGAAGGTAGAGGACTTGGAAATACTTTCTGAGAAACTACTGCACCATGGTGCGTGGGCATTGTAAGGTTGCTATTTCTAGTTTCCACCAAAGGAGGTGACACTGGAAGGGTAGCAGCATGGATGGAGAGAGACTTTTTACCAGGACCTGTAGTGATAGGACAAGGAGTAAAGGTTTTAAACTAAAAGAGGGTACATTCAGATTAGACACAAGGAAGAAATTCTTTACCATGAGGGTGGCGAGACACTGGAACAGGTTGCCCAGAGAAGTTGTGGATGCCCCATCCCTGGAAGTGTTCAGGGTCAGGTTGGACAGGGCTTTGAGCAACATGATCTGGTGGAAGATGTCCCTCCCCATGGCAAGGGGAGCAGAGCTAGATGATCTTTAAAGGTCCCTTCCAACCCAAACCATTCTATGGATGTCTTTTTGTCTGCAAGAGACTTCCAGGTTCAGTTGTAAGGCATGTCCATAGAGAACACCAAGTCTTAAGTAAGCTGTGACCAAAGATTTACTTTCCTTTTTAAGGCTGAGCAGACTTATGTACCCAAATTCCAGACCAGCCTTAGCGGCACTCCTACATGGTCCAGACCTATTTAACCACATCTTAAATCCACCCAAGCACCTTTCTCCACCATCTACCAAATCTTGTTATAATATGTGGATATGCAGAAGTAGGAAAGATTCATTTCATGTCTAATCCAAAAATCCTCCAGGGAGCATTCTACTCTTCTCTTGTCTGCTCCAAGTTTCAACATGGAAACAGATGATGTTACCTATCGCATCTAGTTTTGGAACACCAGAAGCACAGCAGGGACTTGGCTTCCTTCTGTAGCAAGAAGTTTAGCTGTGGGAGGATGACAAAACCTTCAAAATTGAGAAAGCAGAGACAGAGCGTACAAAGCTCTGCTTTGCTCTTCCCACTTTTGTTAAGTGATGTTTTGTCTTGGCATTTCACTACTTCAACACACACAGCTACAGTCCTATACAAAGAATACATCCCCCTACCCTCAAAGCCTTAGATCATAACACCGCTAGCTCCACATAGTGGAAAAAAACCATTCACATAAGAGTTTCCTCAATTATCCTGACATGTTAAAGGTTTAAGAGACTCTGCAGAACCTTGGGAGGCAACACAGCCTGGGCAGAGCAGGAGAGGTTGTGTGCTCTCTTCCCCCAGTTTCCCTCTCTCCATCTGGTAGCACACAGCTCTCCCACTAGCCCTGCTAGAAAGAGAGGCAGTTTTGGATAGCTGGCCCTTGTCCCTCTACTCTCAGTAATTCTTTTCAAGGCAAGTCTTTTGAGTACTGGAAAGGTGTTCTTGCCCTAAAAATGAATCCTTGTACTTAGCCTACCAACTACCAAGTCTTTTAAACCAAACACCAGAACACTCATCATAAATCTGATGGAAGTTTTCCTATCAAACAGTGTTTATCACCTAAAACTTAATGGTTTAGTACCCATTCATGTTTTGTTTCCATTAAGATTTTTGCCC